CAAGATCAGACCAATATAAAATGTTATAGAATGTTAGGAATAAGCAGTTAACAAAATACGAAATGTTGTATCACTATCACTTTTTAATGTACGAGAAAGTATGCAAAAAGTCCTTCATATTTCTAATCTATTATTCGCAGGCGCGTACGCAGGATTTTTTCAAGGGGGGGGTTTTAACATTTATAAATCGGTCCGAAAATTTCGCAACGACTCAGCCAGCCGCTGAATAAGCGGGGGGGGGGGGGGGGGGGGGGGGTAAGAGGACACATTTTTTTTTTTTTTTTTGGTCCCAAAAAAATCGCAACGACTCAGCCGACCGCTGAATAAGGGGGGGGGGGGGGGGGGGGGGGGGGGGGGGGGGGGGGGGGGGGGGGGGGGGGGTAAGAGGACACTTTTTTTTTTTTTTTGGGGTCTCGAAATTTGGAAATTTGACATTTTGCTCCGTTGGGGGGGGTAAGGTCACCTTTTTTAGGTCGGCCATGGGAATAATTTTTTTTTTTTTTTTTTTTTAATAATTAAAAAAAAAAAAAAAAAAAAAAAAAAAAAAAAAAAATCCAAAAGGGGGGGGTTTTAGTTTTTTTTTAGGGGGGTTTACACACAAATAATTTCCAAAGGGGGGGGGTTTAACCCCCCAAACCCCCCCCCCCCCTGCGTACGCGCCTGATTATTCGGGTGTTTGAGGTAAATGCATCGATAGTAAACAATGAGCAAAAAATAATATTCGAATCTTTCCAGACCTCTTCTGCAGGGTGGCTTTGTTCTATCAGTTTAGAATATATTAGTTCCAAAATTGTTAACAATTTAGGATGCAATCAACGATATTTAATAATGCCACGTAGGCAGAAGGAAGGAAGTTTGTTGTGATAAGTTGTATCCACATGCAGTCATGAGTCATTACACTTTTCGAGAGGAGATTGCACATAATTGATTTCCTTTCCATGTATCCATATCATATCAGCTTTTTACACGTTTTCTTATTGTCTCAAAGCAACAATGTATGATTAGGCCATATAACATTAAATTTAGTTTTTCGTCCCCTCCCCCAGTCTTTTCTGCCCGCCTCAATTATTTTGGTATTTGATATTTTGGTTCTGAAATTAAACAATGTAAGGACGTAATTAGAAACAATGAACTAGGAAATAATGCCACTTCACCTTGCTTTTCAGCTTCTGTATTATGCATTTAAAAATGAAATTTGAGCTAAAAAAACCCGACCCAAACAGGGCTCTACCAACAACAAAAAAATAGATATCAAATAACCTGAAACCTAGCTTCTCCTCATTTTCGAAAAATCAGCACGAGGAACTAAAAATCCATGTTACATGGCCTTTGAACTGAATGCACGGGAAATGAATGTTTATCGTTCTTTATATTCTCACTGTAAGATATTGTCGATATCGAATTGCTATAAAAATGTGGGGATCAAATGTCTTACTTTAAATAAAAAGTTCAAGGGGTGGCGAGATAACCGACCCCTCAAGAAAAAGAAGAATTATAAAAAAGATGAAGATGAAGAAGAAGAAGAAGAAGAAGAAGAAGAAGAAGAAGAAAAGAAGAAAGAAGAAGAAGAAGAAGAAGAAGAAGAAGAAGAAGAAGAAGAAGAAGAAGAAGAAGAAGAAGAAGAAGAAGAAGAAAGAAGAAGAAGAAGAAGAAGAAGAAAAAAGAAGAAAAAGAAAGAAAGAAAGAAAGAAAGAAAAGAAGAAGAAGAAGAAGAGAAGAAGAACAAGAACAAGAAGAACAAGAACAAGAGAAGAACAAGAACAAGAAGAATGAGAACAGGAAGAAGAGGAGGAAGAACAAAAAGAAAGAGTAGGAAGAAGAAGAAGAAGAGGAAGAAGGGGAAGGTGAAGAAGAGGAAGAAGGAGAAGGAACAGGAGTATAGGCAGGGGCGTCGCTAGAGTCAGTGGGGGGGGGGGGGGTGTAGAGGCCAACGATTACCGACAAAAATAGCCACCAGTTACCGACAAAATTAAATGTCCCAATATCTACAAATTTAACCCCAAAACTCAGGGCCGAAGGCTAAATTGTTTTTCTTATGAACTATCTATAGTACTTGCGTATGCGCAAATGGTCATTTTCCTCGACGACATAAATATACGAACTATTTCGTCAACTTAGCCAGCATCATAGCTATATATTTTAATGCAGGCGCGTAGCTAGGATATTATTTTAGAGAGGGGCGGTCGTGAGCAAGCGAATCACTTAAAGAGTAGGGGAGGGGCGTAAATCCGTACCGAGGAGTGGGGGGATGATCGGCGATAGCCATCACATACTAGCACGAGCACACGCCCACACACAAACGAACAAACAACAAACAATATTAGAGAAAGAAGACGATTCGTTGAACCGTTCTCGACTTTTAATCCTCATCTGAATTCAGTTTTTCCCTTCCCTCCTCCTGGGCGAAGCGCGGAAGCTTTTACGTTTCATTAAATCATTGGAGAAAGAAGACGATTCGTTGTACCGTTCTCGACTCTTAATCCTCGTCTGAATTCAGTTCCCCCTCCCCTCCCGCGCAAAGCGCGGAAGCTTTTACGTTTCATTCAATCATTAGGGAAAGAAGACGATTCGTTGTTTCGCTCTCGACTCTTAATCCTCGTCTGAATTCAGTTCCCCCCTCCCCTCCCGCGCGAAGCGCCTAAGCTTTTACGTTTCATTAAATAATGAGAGAAAGAAGACGATTCGTTGTACCGTTCTTGACTTTTAATCCTCATCTGAATTCATTTTTTTTCTCCACCCCCCCCCCCCCCCCTCCTTCCCGCGAGAAGCGCGGAAGCTATTACGTTTCATTAAATCATTAGAGAAAGAAGACGATTCGTTGTAGCATTCTCGACTCTAATTTCTTTAAAAAGGGGGTGGGTTTTTTTCTCTCTCTCTTTGGACTCCTGAGAAATGTAAAAAGGAGGTTATAAAATAATGAATATAATAGAAAAATTGATCAAATCCCGGGATCAAATTCCTGAAATTCCTGCTAGCTTTGAAAGCTCATTCAGGATTATTTCATTTTGAAAAGTAAAAGCATTGGCCCCCAGTCCCCCTCGATCGACTAGAGCTCAGCTGAAATTGGGGGGGGGGGATGTGTGGTACATTTAGCAGTGTTCCGGATTTGGGGGGGGGGGGGGTCCAAGGTAGGAAAAGCCAGCGAAAAGCCGGCGAAAGGGGGATTCAGAAATGTCGGCAGTCCTGAGATAGGGTGGGGGGTGTGTGCTTTCAAAGGGAGGGAACGAGCGTACGCGTACCCTAAATAACATTAAGTGTGGGGGGGGGGGGGGGGGGGAGCCGGGCATCTACTGTACATGATTGCACTTTTTAAGCGCTCGCGCGCTTGCGCACTTTACGTCTGGGCTATAATAATACCTTGCAAAATAACGAAAAATTATTTTGAAGTTTATGAAGTGCTTGTTCGCGCACGTCGCGCAACTACTCTTAATGATCGTGGCATACTGTATACGTGTAGGCTATACCGTTATACATACATTAAAAAAAATAATTATTTCTCATGCATTATGCTAAAATTGAAACAATCACATTTTTTTCTTCTTCTTCTTCTTCCCTTTTTTCTCTCTTTTTTTTGTAATCTCAGGGGGGGGGGATTTTTGTACAGGCCACCCCCCTCCTTCGAGCCAGGGGGATGCATACCCCCATCCCCCCCCCCCCGGGATATGCGCCCTGGAGTAGGGGATTGGTGTAAGGCCTTCCGCGCGAAGCGCGGAAGCTTAGACGTTTCATTAAATTATAAGGAAAAGAAGACGATTTGTTGTACCGTTCTCGGCTTTTAATCCTTGTCTGAATTCAGTTTCCCCAGGCCGCGCGAGGCGCGAAAGCTTAGACGTTTCTTTAGATTATTAGAGAAAGTAGATGATACGTTGTACCGTTCTCGACTCTTAATCCTTGTCTGAATAAAGTTTTGACGTCAGTCATTAAATTATTAGAGAAAGAAGACGATTTGTTGTACTGTTCTCTACTTTTAACCCAATGTCTGAATTCAGTTTCTCAAATTCAGTTCCCCCCTCTCGCGCAAAGCGCAGAAGCTTAGACGTTTCCTTAAATTATTAGAGAAAGAAAACAATTCGTTGTACCGTTCTCGACTCTTAATCCTTGTCCGAATTCAGTTTTCTTCCCCCCCTCCCGCGCGAAGCGCAGAAGCTTTGAAGTTTTATTTAATTATTATAGAAAGAAGATGATTCGTTGTACCGTTCTAGACTTCTAATCCTTGTCTAAATTCAGTTGTTTTCCCCTCCCGCGCTAAGCGCGGAAGCTTTTGCGTTTCATCAAAATATTAGAGAAAGGAAGACGATTCGTTGTTCCGTTGTTGACTCTTAATAGGCCTACTTGTTTGAATTTAGTTTCCCCTGAAATTTTAAACCTCTGATTTTGTTTAGGTGATATTATAGGAAAGTGAAACTTCGAGAAAATACAAGTATTGTAGTTGTAGTCACAGTTCGTAGGGAAAAAAAACTTGTCGGCCAACCGACATTATACATCTCACCGACTTCAAACTTCTGCATTGATATAGTACACGAGGAGGCGAGCAAGAATACCGACACAGCTGACCCGACACAGCAACATATTTATGCGTGTCTAATTTCTTGTTCCCTCGACGAGACGACTCCACCCAACAATCCCCTCTCTCTTTTACTCCCACCCTCCCCTCTCAGGCTCTTACCTCCCCCTCTCTCTCCTCTTTCACCCCTCGTTTGTTTTCTTTCTCTTTTCTCTCTTTTTTTCTTTTTGTTTCCTTTCTTTTCCTTTCTTTCCTTCCCTCTCTTTCTTCCCTCCCCTTTTCTCTTTTTCCCGACGGCAGCGCAATTTTACCGACAATATCCTGACAGATGGGGGGGGGGGGGGTGTCGCACCCCCACCCCCCCCCCCCCCCCCCCCCCCCCCCCCCCCCCCCCTTTGGGACGCCCCTGAGTATTTACCCAGGGTATCACCTCACCAGTTCATTCTGTGAGGGAATGATTGCCCTGCCATCATTGCAGGTTACTTATTTGCAATACATGGGTCAGCATTGTTGAAATGGTGAGAAAGATAGAAAGATAAATGTGGGTAAAAGATCTTGAAGGATGAGAGCACCAAAGAAGAAGAAAAAGAAAAAGGAGAAGGCCAAATGAACTCAGAAACCGCCGAATGGCTGCATTATTGGTTTTGCCTCATTTGGCCTTCCATATGTGAAGCGCGTATTAAAAATCGTCCATCCAGTCCCAATCGTGTAATCTTTTGTAGGTTTTTATGGGAACAAATTGACACATTTATTTCGTGAGTATTCTAAGTTTGTAACTTCCTTTTTTTAAACATATGTTGTCAATGAAATGAGTATTCTTACCATTGTGAAGAGTTCTTAATTTTGATTGTGTCCGTAATATATAGTTTCATCAAGTATTTGACAGTTTTGATGTCTTTCGGTCGCGCGGTCTCACTTTCGTGTTGGACACGGCCTGCCACTGGCGTGGCCGCCGCCGCTGCTGGCCGGTTGGCGTACCTCTCCGGGCTGTCCCCAACCTTTGAAAACCCTGGAAAAGCACTTAAGACAAGGTCAATTCAATGATCCCAATGGTTATGAATTGATGGTAATGCCAATGTCATTGTATTTAAAATGGGGAGCACCTGTAGCTGTACATGTGGAACATTTATGAGGACGCTGTTAAATATAAATAATCATGACGTGAGTGTAGGGTCTACTGTGTTGTCTTGGGGGCCGTTTCTCGAAACCGTCATAACTACAAGATCAACGACATCTCGCCACTGTCGCGCAACTTGTCAGCTAAGTGTTTCACGAAGCCGTCTTTGCCAAGATGAGCGACAACTTCCGCGACAAGCGAGTTGTCACTGCTCCGAACCTGTCATATCTTTTTAATTGCTGTAAAGCGCCATCACAAGTCAGTTTGTTGCCATTCCATGGGCCGCGAAATGGACGATTAGTTTCACTATCATTTTGAGAAAAATATAGACGAGTTCGGTACGTAATTCTCTGGAATGCGAAATGCAAATGTACAAAAGTGAGAATACAAATTATACAGAAACTTTAAAAAGCTGAATATAAACATTAAATCACAAATCATTAAACTATAACATATGAATAAGAGAGTGTTACACGTCGTTTTCAATAGTCGATCCATAGTCTTTTCTTTGGATACCATCATACCTTTGGGCCTATGTGCATTATCATTCCCTCTCTAATTACTTCTTCCAAATTATATTTTCAATATCAAATCAATTATATAACAAGTATTTATGAGACTCTAGAATAAAAACTGGCTGAAAAAAAGACATTTTGCCTAAAATTCCTCGTCACAATAAACAAAAAAGTACTTATTGATAAACTATCACATTATCACGGTATCCTTCAACTAACTTTTGATTCGACTGTCAAAAAAAAAACACTCACCGGTTTTTCTTCAATTTAAGAATCTTTACAGAAATATGCAAATCGTTTGATGATGTAAATATGATAATGATACTATTTATTATTTATTTTAGGAGAATTTATATGTATATATTTCTTTTTGAACAATTTTACCCCAAAACTTGTTTTGGGTAATTCTTCATAAATCAAATGGATCGTGACAAAGACTATCTTCTTGAGCTGCTAGTATCGCGATATATCGATATCATGTCTGTCATGGCTTTGTGAAACGGTTTATCCACTTCATGACATCTCCGTAGGTCAGCGACAAAGATATGACTGTCCTGGAGTTGGTTTCGAGAAACGGCCCCTGATTTCCTTTCCCCCCTCTCTCTCTCTGACTCTGAGTCTCTCACACTTTTCACTAGCTGCAGACTCTCTTCTTCAAGTCTTGTTTCCCCCCTTTTTTCATAGCAGAAAATTGAGAGAAGCCAGGATTAGTAGTAAGCTTTTAGCAGAACAGTAAAGTTAAACTGAAAGTTTTGGGAGATGAATTAATCATCAGATCTGGAAACTTATTCTTCTCTTCTCCTCTTCTTCCTGAAAAGTGCAGGCTTCATGAAATGAAGATTAACGCACTGTGGGTCTTCTCTTTCTTAAAAAGCTGTGAGTGTGAGCGTGATCATTGAAATGCAAACTAGCATTAAAATGAAGCAATTGTGTGACTACAGAGAAATTCTAGAATAGAAGTACATGGCCAATTTGGGAGGCTCTCCTAATAGAGATTTAACAACATATTTAACAAGGTTATTTTCCCCACATGTAGTTTTACCTCTCTGACTGTCTCACTCTAACTAAGCCTTCGGCCTTCTAGGTCAGGGACTCAGGGTCCCATTCGTTTTGTTTGTGGATCATATTAAACAGAACTGTTTTGAAAACAAAAGTATGGTAGATCTAGACCAGGATCTAGACCAAGATCTAGACCAGGATCTAGACCAGGATCTAGAAAGTGAATTCTTAAAGTAGATAATCTAAAGGGTTATTTTCAAGAGGAATTTCATTTCAAGGACCCTGTCTTATAAACAATTGCGACTATGTACATAAGAGATAGGTGACTGCAAACCTACGATTGATTAGATGACTTGCGATTGATTCGGACCAATAGCAACTCTTAAATTTGTTCAATATATTTTGTTTCTACATTACTTTTCAATGATATGGTATCATTTTGTTATATGCAGGAATAGGTTGGTAACCAAGGAGAGAAGAAGATGGGAAGAGTTCCCAAGAAGCCTCACGAGGCCCTGTTCGATGGCCTACAGACAGACCTCAAGGGATTGATCATCAGGTTCATTGCAACGGAGAGCGTACGCTATGAGGAGTTTACCAAGATTTGGAGGGCGCTCAATTTCCCCCTCATCTTTTAGTAAGTTCATTCAGATTCGGAAGAAAAAAAACACTGGAAACATGATAATAGGAATTTTGTTTCCCTCATCAGCCTCGATCCTGCCATTATTACCTCTGCTGTTGCCAGGTAGACCTACCCATTTACACCTGGGTGGAGAGTGGTAAATGTGAATTAATGCCTGGCCAAAGGACATTAGTGCTGAGCTGGGATTTGAACTCTCTCCCTTGGATTGAGTGTCGGTTGAATGCACCACCAGACCGCATCACCTCCATAATTAGTATTGTGAGATTAATTTAAATTTGCAACTTTTATATTTCTTCGTATTTCAAATCAAACTAAAAAAATAGTGCAACATCAGCACAGATTTTTACTGTCGATGTGTCTATAGATATGACAGGAGCAATGTCAGGATAACTGTTTACATATTTATTTGCTGTTTGTAATTTTTGTGTGTGAATATTCCAAAATCAGATGGAAGGTTTTGAACTTAGCAAGGTTTAGTTCTATCTAATGAAGATATACAAGAAGAAGAAAAAAGTGAGCTCTGTGACGACAACAGAACTAGACTGACATCAGATTGAATAGTACAGTAGTATACAAATATACCTTTTTCCAATTATCATTCCACTTTATTTTTCATTTACAATTACAGTGGCATAAAGAGTGACCAGCTCCTACGAACGGTAAGTTTTCTAAAAACAAAGATGATAATTGTGTGATTGATTTTACAGCTTTCATTCATTTTTATTTGACCTGAAATTCAAATGTACTGTTGACATTTGATAAAAACTTTGACTTGTACTATTTGTGAAAAAAAGCTTATTTGAAAGTCTTCTGCAAAATGACAATCATTTAATGTTGAACATGAACAGTGGAAGTGGCCATTCCATTGATACAAGAAAAATCATTGAACAGACAATTTTATGTTTCCACTTACATTTCATTATCATACCAGTAGGTGTAGCTATTGGATGATCACAAAGTAACTTTTTGCCAATTTTCTTTACACATACCTGGATTTGGTAGATTGAAATATGTTTTCATGGTCTAGTGGATTTGTTGTTGGACTGTGAATCACATGGTCCGCTTTTCGAGTCCCTGTGCGGCACTAATGTCCTTTGGCAAGAAAAATCTACATTTGCCACTCTCCACCCAAGTGTGGTAAATGGGTACCTGGTAGGAAGAAGCTCCTTGAATGCTTGAGTACCTTAACATGGTAGCTCGCTGAATCTGGGGTAATAATTTGATTGCGGGGCCCTCAGGGAGAAAAGTATTTGGGTAAACCTTGGGTAAACCAGACATTATTATTATAAATGTATTTTTTGTGTGGAGTCAACCTAACTTTCTCTGCTCTCTTCTATCTCTCTCTCTCTCTCTCTCATTAGTTCACATCAGAAGCGTATGCCCTGACTGCGTCGTCTCTGGTCTCCCCACATGATCTGCAGACTAGGATATGTGCCATGTATATGTTATATGCATTGTATCACACCCAGCCCTGCTCACCCAAGCTGAAGGTCAGTAGCACTCACAAAATAGACTGGTTTACTATTAAAGGTAAAGACCAGTATTGGAAACGCCCCAATTTCAAAAAATGAAATGGAAGCTCTTATTACCAATCATGTGAAAGAATATGTTTTGAATATTACATGATGATAAAAATTTTGACGGGAAACCGCCTACTAATTGATATATTTGGTAAATTAGTGTAGCTCTTATTACCAATCATGTGAAAGAATATGTTTTGAATATTACATGATGATAAAAATTTGACGGGAAACCGCCTACTAATTGATATATTTGGTAAATTAGTGTATCTCTCGCCTGTTGAGAGATATGAAATGCACGTGTCGCGCACGTGTGTGTACTCCCATATACATCTTTCTGTGTACAGTGCTTCTAACTTTATGAAGACTTGGCCAAATTTCTTATCATTTTGATGATTCCAGAACCTTGCAGTACATCTATGCTAGATGATCAACCTTTTCTGATCGATTTCACAACGTTTCTTTCACAATGCAATTGCATGACCATAACTGGTCGTTAGCTTTAAGCATGTCCAAATTTTATGCAAAGTGTTTAAGAAATGGTTGTTCTTGACAACCAGAAAGCTTGCCCATGGCTTGCCCAACATAGCAACAAGTTATGTATGCAGGGTCTATTCCAAGTATTGTAGCTCATTCATCAATAACAAGTTAAAAGTTAATGTAATACCTCGTCACTAGGTCCCCCGGAAAGAAATATCCATATCATATATTTTTTAAATCAGGATTTTGTTCTCCAAAAAAGGATGGTCCCTGAGATCAATGTAAATCCGGCTTTAAATCGGGGGGGGGGGGGGGGGGGGGGGGGGGGGGGGGGGGGGGGTGAGGTGCAGTGCATAAATGTGTACCCCACTTCCTATGCTATTGCTATTGCTGTTAATGGTATCACACACACAATGGTAAGATGGTGGAGACAGAAGTAAACATGCTGTGTTGTTGCACTTGCAGTGGATGTAGACTAAACTTGAAACATGTCTGCTGCCCTCTCTCATTGTGAAACTGATTTGATTTTATCCTCTTGTGAAGAATGGAAGGGAACCATCAGTTTGTTGTGATGCTTTGGATTACCTACTCCTTTTACAAGCCAATTAAGTTTATTAAGTGCAATTTGTTGACCTACATATAATGGTTAATGGTGATGCGTGTATGATCAAACAAATATGATTTTCAGTCTTTGCTGTTTGAAAAGTAATGTCTTCTGATAGTTTTATAAATCTATTTATTTAACATTAATTGACTTATTTTAGAAAGAAAGGTTCACAAAAATGAAAGAGTTTCAAAATATGCACTTAATAATAATAATAATAATAATAATAATATAATATAATATAATATAATAATAATAATAATATAATAATAATAATAATAATAATAATAATAATAATAATATAATAATATAACTTATCATTTCTTAGCAGTGATAATAAAAAAGAGAATAATGAAGTCTAGACTTTATTGTTGCCTCTCTGTTAGACATTTACGTGTAGATGTATACACAAACAATTGTATTGTATTGTACTGTATTGGTCAGGTAAGAGCTAAACTTGTTCAATTTACAGACTAAACATTATATTAACATTTTGAACTATTACTCTATCTTTCTACCACAATAGGGTTTAAATATGGCATGATTTGTTTTGATTGTATGACAGAATGAACTCATGAGGTATACAATGCAGGAACTATTTCAGTCTATTTTAAAGAAAATGTTTTTAGAAGATGCTTTTCCTCTTTGTGGGATTCAAGGTGAAATATTTGGGCAGAACGCAAAATGAGTATGATGGTCATACCATGACCCGTGTGTAGTCCCAGTGTATGGGAAAGTCATCTTCATGTGGGGCTCCGTTCGTATAACCGCAGTGAAATAGTTTTCAGATTAGATTAAAACTGTTGATCAATTGCTTTGAGGACTAGAAATAACTGTATGACTGACCTCTTGTGAAGTTCATTGATAAAAATAGGGAGCTTAGTTTTGTTGGAAATTCAAGTTATTTTAAAGACATTAACACAAGGTTAACTCATAGAGCAGTTCACAGAGTTTTCAAATGCGTGGTTTAACAGGGAAGTCCACCCTAATATTTAATTGTTTTTTATAAAAGCAGAAAAATGAGGGAAACAGATAAGAGAAAGTTTGAGCAATATTTGATTAGCAATAGGAAAGTTATGAACTTTTCAAGTTGTCATCATTGAAACACAATTGGCATAACTGTGATGTAACTTGCAAGCTCCTTTCCAATTAGCCCTGTACAGAAAATATATTATAAACTTTCAAATTCTCAGTTATTGATGAGGAAATAGATTTGTTTCATACAGGGTTGTTAGAAAATTTGCAATAATTATATTTGGGGTAATTGTTTGAGTGAAAATTTTCTTAAAAAGGCAAAATATAATTTGATAGTACAGAGCAAATGGGATGAAAGCTCTCAAGATGCGTCACAGAATTGCCACTTTGTGTTTGATTGATCGCACCTTTGAAAATTCATAACGTTTTATTTTAAATTGGTATTTGCTCAAACTTTCACTGACCCGTTTCTCTCATTTTTCTGCTTCTATTAACTTAATATCAGGGCGGACTTCCCCTTAAATCACTTTTGCCTCCCCAGATGGTCACTCATTATGATAATGATGATTTACTTGCAGTCTTGCACATTTAAACCTACTTTGCCTCTAATGTTATCAACAATATTACAGAAATTAACTGCCTACAAGAGTAGAGTCATATCAAATTTTTTCATTTTGTTATTTTATTATTTTAAGGCATTAAGCCTTCTGTGGGAATGAATTTCACAATGTATTTACTTCTTTGTTTTTAAGTAAAATAAAACTGGCTATTCTTACTCCTATCATAAATGAACCTGTATACCGTGTAAGAAGAAATTTTCAACAAAAATGACCAAATATGGAGTCTATGAAACTACCCAATGCCTTTTGCATTCATGGTTTTCACTGTCTGCCTGCAAAAAGGCTGTAAGAGCGAGCATTGTCAGTGGCAGTAACAGCCTTCTTGCTGGTGGCAACGTATTTTTGTTGGTCCACCTGAAATCAACAGCCAGTTCAGTAAGCTTTTAATTAAAGATAAAGTTGAGTTCTGGTCATGCGATTGCATTGTGAAAGAAAAGGTGTGGAATGGATCAGCAAAAAGTTGATCATGTAGCATGTAAGTATTGCTGTGTACTGCAAGGTTCTGGAGTCATCAAAATCATAACAAATTTGGCCCAGTATTGGTAAAGTAACAAGCACTGTACACAATATGGGAATACACAAATAGTGTCGGGCCTACTTAACTTGATATCCTTATCTTTCTATGCTCATTGCTCAGCCAGTATACATTTCTACCAAAATTGTTTATCATGACATTTATTTGTAATCTTGAACATTCAGTGTGAGTTTTGTTTCATTATGTGAGAATTCATTTTCTTTTTTTTACCAAAACTCAAGTTTATCTTTAAAGTGTTATCCGAAATGGGTCTTCTGAGGGATGACTCTGCGAACATTACTGGGTGGTCATCAGAGATCGAACGTATTTCAGGACTCTGGTTTTGACGTATCCAGGCGTGATGTGTGATTGTATTTACTTGTGTGAACATTGTAATCCCATCATCATTTTTGTGTGGAGGCGTGTTTGATGATGTTGTTTAGCTCCTGATTATAAGTACAGCTGTGCTAATGATGTCATTCAAGGTCACAGGGGGAGACTAACTTACAGATGACCTGTGAAAACTCTTTCACACATGACACAAGCAATGCAATTTTTTTTTTTTTTTTTAAAGCGGGAAAAACCCAACTGCATCAAAAAGGAATCATATTGGCAGTTCTTATTTTACAGATGTGTATAAAAAACTGTCAATCAGATATGATCATTATTTATTTTCATCTTTCAAGTTGTTGTTTGAAAGATATTCAGTTACAAACAGCAGTCCAAAGGAGTGGGTTTGCAGGCTAAGATAGAGAGCTGAGCGTACCTTTGACGATTACGCTAAGCAGTCTAGACCAACTCGCATCTCCTGAGAGTACACTTCATTTTTCTTATATCTTTCTTATATCTTTATCTTATAACAAGCAGATAAGTCAATTATTGTAAATTGTGCCTTGTGGCCTTTGTTGCACACAGCTACTTTTCTTCAGCCCATTCGCCATTTATTTGTAACATTTTTGTTCATGTGCTATGGCAGTTTCATGTGTGAACAGGGCATAGGTGAGATATCAGGGCTACTGAATAAAAGATTGTTGTATCCCTTTCACATATATGTTACACCTCCTCCTACATTATTGTCCCGGACTTTCATTTGACTTTTTGTTTGGGTTGCCATCAACTATCGATGATTGCTTAAAGGTTACCTAAGTTCAACTTTTGTTGGTCACATGTTTAATTGTGAAGCTCTCCAAATGATAAGGTACTGAGTCTTCTCCCACATTTCATTGGATAGCATGGAAGCCAGGTTATTTTACTACAATATTTATGGCAATGATGATAGGTATTTAGGTTTGAAATAGGGAGATATAAACAGTCTTACGTATGTTGCCATTTTTTAGACTTACAGTTAGCAGCTAAATTATTCATGCTCCTTGTATCTTTAATGTTTTTGGGGGTGTTTTTCACAACTTAAGAATGAAAGGTGGACTGGTTGCATTAGGGCCTGTATTGAACACTTTTAGATGTACAACGTAAGCTTTAATGTGTGTCACAGTCACAAGAAACTTACCAAAAGTACAATACTTGGTAAGGGTATAGATAATTTAGTTGTTAACTATATGTACAGCCTTTTCACACACAGCTAAAATTCTATAAACATGATTAGTATAAACGTGTTTGAAACGTGTTTAGACTAATCACGAGCCTTTCACACACAGAAATTTCGGTGCGATTGTTAATCGTTTTGTGATTAACTACTGCTCGTAAAATGCGCAGTAGTGCCATTGCGCATTGAAGGTCATGTCATATCAATCAAAGCACATGCTCCATCCAGTTTAAA